GTAATACCACGCGTTGGTTGATGTGTTGTAACCCTATTATGAATATACAGTGAACGAGATGTAAAAGCTCACCTCAACACCTCAACAGATGACATGTTACTGATTTTTTATTAAAGTGTCGTATAGTTGTATGTAACTGGGGCTAGTAATGTGAGCGAACTAATGCATTTAACAGCCACTTTTCAATAGACCAGCCTCCGATTGACGTCACTGTGAAACATTCAGAATGCCACGAGACGAGACTGTTCCACACTACGTCTGCGTTCCGATATTCGATGAGATGACAAGTCTAATTTTAGATAGATCGCAATTTATAATTCATACCTGGCACACTAATCCCAAGAGGTGATAACTAGTCCATCAAAGATGAAAAGAGCAACTATCCTGAATCATTTCAAAGAGGTCTGTTTGTATAACAAGCAATCACATTCCTAGAGTACTTCTATTTTATAGCATATTTCTAGTAGCACTCGTTAAATTTATTATTTCATTGGTAATCACCAAGAATCCCATGCTCTATATGTCTATGGCAACTACAAATTGTGTCTGTTGACTCCAAAATTAGGGTTCATTTCCAGAAATATTGAAAAACATAAGAAAAAAGAGCGTAAAAAAAAAAAATTGGTCGAGACGTCTGATGGTTAAATATGTAATATGGGCGAGAACATCGTGGAATTTTTAAGTATTGTTTTTTCCATACAATATATTGATAGAAATATTGAATTGTGATTTAAGATAACCTGAAAACGCAGTTTCTGTCAATGAAACAACACAATTATTTCATTTATTATTTCATACTTCCAATAACAATAACCACACACGCGTGTTAGTGGTTTTTATTTTATTATCTAACGAATTCTAACGTGTTTAGCGAATCATAATTCGATGTGGTCTACAGTATGGAGTGTAGAACAACAATAATAATAATGAAAACCTAATGTTTTCGTCCATATTTCATCTTTAATACAATATTGCAGTGGAAATAATTATAACGATCTAAAAGCTGCGGTTTTCTCGCCTATATAATATTCAGTATACAATGACTACGCCCTCCCTATTAATGAACAGAATAGATTCATAGACACAAAACGAGACATGTCACCTGCATCAATGCATGTTTAATGAAGCGTGCGTCCCCTGTGGCAACATGCCGGTTTAGACCTTTGCTTTCTAAATCACAGTTATGTCGTTTTATCCGATTCAATAAAGAATTAATCCATGAATTAATCTATGTAATGCCTGCCGAAAACAAAGACGCAAAGGCCCGGGATTTTGTTCTTACTGAATGTAGCATAATTATAATTATAACGCGTACAATATAGACATATTTTTAAATGTATAGTTTATATGCCAAAAGACATTCGTAACGAAAGTATATCAGAATTGGAATTGGCCGCTGTGTTTTCATTACAACTTATATCACAAATGATGCTAAGAAAGAACTCATCGTTCTGCCGGATTTGTAACAATTAATAACAGTCTCTAACATATTAGGAATTATCTGATATTGCTTATAGGTTTGAAGATTATGGAAGTTTGTGAAAAGAACTTTCACCGGGTCTTGAATGTCCGAGAACGTGGCAAAAATCAAATATATATGCATATAATATTGTATTGTAGTGTTATCATACTTCACAGTTGAGATCACAAAGTAATAGTGAGTTTTGAACTGTAATTTGAAAAAAAAAACGTGATGACCCCCTATAAATATACTGTATACAAAACAAACCATAAGGGTGTCAAATATCAAAGCTATTCCTCTTAAAGAGGGTAAATATTTTAGGGTCAACACAGTATGATTGCAATCCAAACGAGTGATTGTCTCTAACACGTTGCTTCAGTGCCCAGGGGTCGCGCATAAAAGGATATATAAACAGCACTTTTTTTTCCCTTCTTTGTATGTCAATATTGAATTGATGCAAGTAGACTGTTTAAGTGGATACCCATGAACTATGTGGTCTAAAGATATCATATTATCGCAGTCGTCTAAACATTTATATACCCTTGGTTTTAGAGTCACTTGTCACATATTTACGCTCGTAATCAATACGTTAATACTTTTCCCCCATGCTGTGGTTTTCCCCTGCCATTAAGTGGTACATACTTGATGATCCTATAACCAACTTTATAAATGTATTCCTCTATCTATACTTGTTTGAGGTGAGGAAATACCATTATTCAGCACGTTTAGTAAAAATAAGTAAATCTATTAAACAAGTGGTTCGTTTTGTTGTACGTCCGCGGATTGATTAGTATTAAAATTTAGAACAAACAAAATAAAGACATGCGAGTTCTATTATAAAGAGTTTACCTGAACGCATTAATGACAGAGCAAGTAACACAATTCCGGGATAAGAGACAGATGTATATATTTGTCTCGCTTTTATTTACAACATATTATCTAAATTGAATATGCATCCTAAAATGCTTTATTTGACTATGCACGTTTTTTTTTAATAGAAACGGCAATTTGCTATTATATTAGCCAAATGAATGTAAGCCAATGTGCTTTAATGGATTTATCCAGGGGAAAACCGCTGCTAGGGAGAACGTGACGGTGGAAAATAATCACATTTTACAATATTCACCGTCCTTGTCTTCGAAATAGTGTCTTGTTTGTTGTACGTTGTGGAATTCATTTGCTGTCTGTGGCGAAACATTTCAGTACTATTCATTAGAGTATCCTTCAGTAAGGCAAAGTTGTTAGCTAGGCACGTTATAAATTTCAATTAAATAAATCAATTTCTGTGATGCGTGTGTACATGAATACACTGTGGTGAAGAAGAATCAATACAATGTTCACACACGACGATGCAATGGGTTGTGAACAGTACCTTGGTTGAATAAAATCTAGCTAGTCTCGGTGTAGTTCCCATTCAGACAAAGACCGCGCTTGCATGCATGTTTGCGTGCGTGCGTGCGTGCCACCGTGCGTTTCAACCTTCATCTTGTACATGCCTAGACCGATCACATTTACCTTATATCCACGCATCTCAGAGGAACATATACACGTTTACCTCTTTCATGATCAGATTCAAGATGGTAAATGGATTCTTAAAATTAATCAAAATCGAAAATTTCTGTCATATACACAAGACATTATTTTGTTTTTAGTTTCAAAATGGCGGACTGGCGGTTATATTATTTTAATGAATGCGGCTCCGGAGCTATACCTCTGACTTATTCAGATTCAGGATGGTGGACAGTTATAACGCACCCAAATCTAGCGATTCCTCCATTCCGGTCCTGGATATTGATGTTATATGGCCAGCTGTTAATAGGTACATACATTGAAAATAATGGAACTATACTGTTTTATCCCATGATATATTTACTAATATGCATTTGTTTCAAGTTCACAATGGCCGACTCATTCTAGTGTTGTTTACTATTGAATAACGGGCCGGGAACTATGTCATGTCATGACATGACTTGTTTCTTTCTTATTTAAATGTATATAGTGTAGTGCCCTCGAACAAATACTAATCTGAAGCGTGACGATGTGTGATGTTAGCTCTACCACGTTAAAATCAGGATCATTATATCTATCGTACGTGAATAACTTTCAGTCAGAATCGGACTATCCTGTACATTATCTATCTAACGTGCTAGCTATATATATAGATAGTCTGTGTCCGCAAGGAGTAGTTGATATTTCATTATTTAAAGCAACATTTAAATATTCCTTAATTGCCTGAATCGACAACGATCGGTTTCACAAGTACCCGGAACATACCATATATTTGCATTTATATATTATTGAAAAATATAAATTGAAAATTGTTTTCACTGACAGTTTCACTTGCTCGTAAATCATTAAAACCATGGAAATCGATTGCATTCTGCACGTATGGCAATTAGAAAACATAGACTTGAGCAGAGATCCGGCATAGATCTAGAAGACACATCCGATTTGATGTAAAGCTTGTGTATACACGTATGTGGATGTTTGTCGTTTACTTCACAGTTCAGTTTTATACCCGATATTTAAGGCATTTCGCAGCACATACAAGTTGTTTTTATCGCCAGAATTCATTCATAGATCTCAAATTTCATGCACGGGGTGACAAAAGCCAGAACTCTGCTCCCCTTAAAGGAACATATTAGAAGTAAACCTCACTCTGTGTTGCACGTCAACAAACTATCTCTCTTTCTCTCCCTTTCTTGCGCGTAATTTTATGAGAACTGCAAAAAACAATCCAATCATATGTGATATTTTGCAAGTTGAGAACTCTCCGAGATAAATCAGTTAAGAGAATAAACCGAGGGGTTAGACATTTATCTCTGCGCTATCCGCACGCTTGCTATGTATGTTAGGTTTATTTCCAAATCCCGAATTGCAAACGAGAACGTATTATAGTGGTTACGTCACTGACGACTGATGCTATCATAGATTGGACGGAGTGTATCCCGTTAGATGATGAGAGGTCTGATTGCTAAGAAGTCATTACAGTTACACTCTGAAGATGTCAGAATCTATCTGAATTGTAAACGTGTTCAATTAAAGACGTAGTCTAGACATCTTAGGGTTACAGTCGACAGTTGATATTCGACCAGTGTTGTGTCGAAATGTGTGCACGATGATAGAGATACTGCCACAATTCTTTGTCACTTTCACCTTTCTGGCTAATTTCAGTTACGTCGATTACCGTCGGTCGTGTTTTCAAACATCGCTCGGCGAATAGCATGCAATTCTGGGCAATCCATAGCAGCAGTGTGTTCTATACATGTAAACGATATATTTACAATATTACGAAGTTTTAGTCAAATATGCAAAATGCCACCCTGACAGTTCTCCCCTCTCACTTTAGAAGAACGCGTGTGGATGACTGACATGCGATACACTGAGTTATTTGAACTAGATTCGAGACGTTCAACTGATAGTTCAAAAACGTTTATAAATATCGTATACACTACAAAAAAACACAACGTATTACTACTAGTGTTGTTAAGTCGTCCCGCAACATTATTTTAGAAATATTAAAAAAGAGAATATTTACCTTGCTTTGTAGCTAAAAGTAGTATGAGAATGATACAAAGACAAACTGTCCCTCCAAGCAGTAAGACGAGTGATTTTTCTATCACAGAACGCCGTTTCCACCATGTTTTGCAGATCATCGATGCCCGAAGTGGGTCCGATATTTTATCCTTGAAAAGTATGGCATCGCCGTTCTCTTCAGACGTCGAAGGCCTGTATTTAATCGCCTCCGATGAGTTTGTGTTATGATTGAGAACGTCTTTGGGGTCCGTCATGATCAAGTTCGGTGTTTTCGCAATCGTCACCGCATCAATGCTTCGTAAGCAATCCGGTAGGTCCGTGTATTTTTTCTTAAAAAGAAGCGAGGTGCCTAGATATTCCTATTGAAGAGAAAACAAACACACGATGTAGAATAGTAGCTGGCAGCATCGCAGAGCACACACGCATTTGCCACAATTTCGCTGTTGACTTCAGATCTTTTAAGTTGGTGTGATGCGCCTGCGCAGAAACACATTGTAAAAAAAAATCGAATAAGATCTTCACAGACGTCTGTGCGATTCGATGTAAAAGCTGCCTGAATACTTAATTTGCATGTGAATATCATCGCGTTCTTACAAGCGCAAATGCCCAAGGTAGAAAGGATGACCTGTAGGGTCACCTTCGCTGCAGTGTTCTGTTTTCACATAACAGCTATCGTACAGAAGTTAACTAAAATACGTATGATTGGATTAAGCTTGTTTTATCTGTGATTTCATTATCCTCGCAATACGTGGAAAGGTGACATTTATCACATGATCTCTATGTATACATGCAGTCAGTTCTAGTTATTGCCTCTTTTTATTCTACGTATATGCAAAAAGCGTGATTGTAAACATCAGAATTCCAGTTATACACCCACACACAGAGGGCGTTTCCAGGTATTTCATAACAGTGGTGCATATTCGCATTTATTTGTAATCTTTTTTAGGAATGTTATTTGTTTTACATAATACATAAAATAAATCCACATCGCTTTTTTTTATCAAATCAAGTCTTGTGGAAAAATGGATTTAGATTTGTTCCAAAACGACGAAGCTATAAAGAAATATATAAATTGGCGGGAAGAATTCGATGGGTTAATGGATGATTTCAATGTAATAATTGGTTGGAGATTCGGATTGTTACAGGCATCTGTTCTTATTGTCGTGTTTGATCATCGCTAGATTAAAAACAACCTTTAATTGAAATGTATTCCCATGGTCCCATCCGGGAGATATAAAACCTCGCCCACGTGATGATTATCGAGCACCACTTGTAATCTGTCAATGCGTCTGTTAAAACGATCGTAATGTATTATATTTAATGGAGCATCGATTCAGAATCAGTAAAATAGTACGTATTGCTGATATGGGAGTAATAGATTGAAAATTATGTATTTGCACAATTAGTGTCTTACAATGGCCTTGTATTGCATTTCTATGCGTTGTAATATTTATAAGAATGTTCATTAATTTGGCGAAACCCGCAAACCTGGGAAGACAAAGGGTAGTGTTGATAGTCCTGACATTGTCTTGAAAATTCTAAAACATTGTTACGATACAAATCTTTCGTTGAACTCCGTCTACTGTAGAAATCAGGTTGTCTTGTAATAAAATAAAATAAAATAAAATAAAATAAAATAAAATAAAATAAAATAAAATAAAATAAAATAAAATAAAATAAAAATAGACGACAGAGTGTGAATAGTTTTATGAGTGGTATTAATTTCGCCTTGAAATGCTCAAAACATAGACCTAACGTATCAACACGGTATCTGAGTGACGACAGCCATGCCCCCTGATGCAAAAATTGAGCACCCCGGGTGGAGCAATAACTCGAAGGTGTGAAAGTAACACTGTTCACAATTACTTGGTGCGTGGGTGAACATAAATCAGTATAGCGCCGAGTAATAATTTCTCGATTGGTTCAATTGTATACATGCCTTTGGGAGTATGAATAGTGTTCTACGATATTATCGGTGTGAAGCCACGTAATAATGTTCGCTCTGTATACCGCGTACCGCGTGAATGTAAGGATGTGTACATCTCCACGTGCGCGTCATTGCTGATTTCATGCGTAATGCATAATCGTTATGCCTTCGCTTGAGTATGTTGGTATTTAACGCTGCCACAGATGAGCTTCTTCAGAAATCAGTATTCAAAATGTCTCACTGGCTGTGAATAGCTTTCGCCGTTTCACTGTGTTAACGTTCGTTTTCAAGGAAAGCACAATAACATTCAATTCAGCTTCATGTGTAATGCCCGTGTTTACACAATTCCCACATGTAAAACACACATATTTTAGAAACTGATTCATGTGTCGTGGCTAGAGGGGATTTGTTTCATTACCATGCCTAACAAGTTAACAATCTCGAGTTGTTATTGCCTTAGACAAATATGTGCCTGTAGCCATATGTAAATGAGTGCAATATCTATGTAAGTATGTTAATTTCAAGAGGTTGTTCGCCCCGGAAAACATGATAATGTGAATTTCCATTGCATGTGACGCCGTCACTAGTGCACCAGCATGAGGCGTTCTGTTGGATGCTGATGGTGCAGCGCAATTTATGACCGCTCTAACTTTGAAGTTGGGTGTAATTATTTATTGTAGCATAACCTGAATATTCCACTTTCTTAACTATTTGTTCTATTCCGTTGTGAATACGTGAAAGCGTGTATTGGTATAACCTACATATTTTATTTAATATAAATTTTAAGATACATGTATAGCTTGGTCTTTTGATATCGAGATGACCCATTTCATACAGATCATCGGATCAGACTGCAAAGAAAACCCGCCATTAATAGCATCTCTGCATGCTATGCTAGTGGTCGCTGTATGTCACTGGAAAACAAACACAAAATATGATGTTTGTACCATGAAAATAAAATTGCGCACTTATGAAAATAAAAGATGTTAGTAAAAGGGGAAAAAATATCTATTTATATTTTATTATATTATATTTTTGCACTATAATCACGGAAATTGGGAAACTCTCTTATAAAAACACTCAGTTAGTAGCCTGTCGTCCTCTATAAGATTGTATTTTTTTTCAATGCAGTTAAATGTATTTTTAGAAATTTTACTTGAAAATCTATAATTATCAACGTGACCCTTGAATGCCATACTTGCAAAACAGGATCACTCAAGTTCTTCGAGATTATATTTCTGAAATTCAAGAAAATAGTACCCTGCAATGTTTAATCATATGTACTTCACGTCTACGTGCAATTGTAGAGTTACATTTACATTTTCAAAAGCAAAATACCATCGCGCATTTCAAAGATTCTTAAAGCGCTACTCATAGCATAGAGAATGAATTCACCCACGTCAGTGGTGGCATTGCACTTGACATTAACTCATTTCCAAATCCATTAACATAGCAACCGTACAAATTCCGAAATGGTATGATAGTCTACTCTCTCCAAAACTATTAAATCTAGATGCAGACTAGCCTCTACGTTATATCTTCTGAAAGCAGAGATATATCATGAGTCTACGAGACAGGATGTATTTATCATGGCAATTGTCGGGCCCAGTTCCAGCATTTACGAGTATCATTCTCTCAATTATTTGGCCATCATTCTATATATCATTTATAAAAAATCGCGCCCTCTAGTGACGGGGTGCATCTGTGACGTCAAAATGACGTGTATGCGCAAGGAAAATGGCGTTTGAATCAACCGCTGTGTTTGGTTGTGCAGTCGTTCGCCATCTAATATTCCTCAAAACATTATATCCGTCGATGTACGGCTACAGATCAAAGCGATATCGACGCTTTCAACGGTTTCTGTGACACCAATTTACGTCACTGAAGCACTTCGTCACTTGAGGGCGCGGTTTATTGGAAAAGTAAGAACGTCTTCTTCACTTTTGGTACCCACCATGTATCTATCTGAGCCACGTAGTTTCCGTTAGGTTGTCAGAAGAGTTAAAAGAGTTTGTCCTATTCTTGTAAAGGAAATACCACATTTTTGCACAAAACCTATCTCCAGGAGTGACTTCTTTCATCGTGTCTATATTCTTTTTAGCATTGTACGCTTTACACGGTTTAATTGCGATGTTGATTCCCTTCAATCCCCAAAACAATTCAGCACACGTAATATATAACCAAAGTCCTCGGTAAAACGAACGTCACATAGAAATCTTACTAGAGCCTTGTCTTAAGATCAATAGAATATACACATGTAAATACATACAGGAGATATATCCCAGAAAGATAGGGAAACCGCTTTGGGTCACTTGGTTAATTGAATTGGAGAGGCTTCATTCCGATCACTTGAGCTAAGTAATTTGAGAACACTTCCCTTAATTGAGGTAGACACGTAATAGCTCTATTTTGATTGCGTTTGTTGCTTTATATGTACATACGAAATGGATTGATAATATTATTTACTATCCAGTCAACTCTAGATGTTATATATATATATATATATTACTAGTTTCACTTTAGTTTCTTAAAACAGAAAATGAATAAATATTAATAATTATTTTCAAACAAAATAACATGGAAAACGACTGTTAGTTGTAAGTTCATTTGTACGATACGATACTAGTTATGAAATGTGTGTCATGTATATTTAATATTTTATATGACATATATTCATGTTTTATATTGTACCAACATATAATAAATTTTGTAAACGAAGATAAGAGCAAATATTACAAATGCGTTTTAGTTGAATAATTTATGTATCTTAATAATTGATGACACTTCCTGATCTCCATGTTCTAAATTACATAGAATTTAACCCTAACCATTAAAAATCAGAAATTGAAACTGCCTCGATTATTTTGAATTGAATCAATCAAATTTTAGAAATAGTGATGATTTAGGAAAAGAAAAACAGTAAAAGTCAAAATATAGTAATTGCCGGGTTTTTTTTTACATATTTTTGAAACCAAGTTAACAACGCGAGATTACCGTAATCAGTTAGCAAATATCGATGTCCAAAATGTAGTTCAAATAATATGTTTGTTTTCTATGCCCAAGATACATATCACAATCTTTTGTTCATTTACATTGAGAACAATGTATTGAGTCTTGTTGATGTCAAGAAATTTACATTATTTCTTAATCGGGTTTTAATTACAATGTGTGGTCATTGTTGTCTTTTAGAAAACGCTGCTAACATATCATTTTATACATTCTACCTCAAGTTATTCTGTGAATAAATAATAGAAAGGCATCTATTTGGTGTCTTACCACAATACATCGCACCCGAAAGCGTCTTATCATTAGTTTCATTTTTAAGATTTTCTACTATATAATTTCAATAGTTATTTTGTTAAGCACGTACTTAGCAGTTACAAAGAATGTTGTGACAGATGTAGTTCGGTATGTTTGGGTTGAATGTGCGAC